CTACAGTAAATTAATGTTGTAAGGTCATCATCTTCTTTGCATTTCGATTCCTTCTTATTACGTGCAAGCTTATAGAGCCATCCGATTTTATCAACAAAGGCACACCACCATCGAGCTTAGGCTGATGCAACGCCCTTATCTCAATCTAAAACTTTTTTTTATCTTTCAATTGTAATTCGACATTGCATTCATAGTGGTGCAGGTGTGATGCTCACATTCTGAACTAACCATTGTCAAATTCAAGGGTGATGATTAAGGTTATTCAGTGCGTGCTCAATAAATTCAATATTTGATAAACCTGCTGATAAATGGAAGAAAAGGAAGGAGCGGGGAAGGCTCAATGACTTTGGTATATATCCCATGCAAGCAACATGGAAAAAACTGTGTTATGAACAATCATTTATCCTGTCAACTAGAATATTATATCATTGCTAAATCTAGAAAATGCTATTCCCACTTTAATATAATCTAATGATTGTCAGTAAAAGTGGAAAGTGGTCCACAAAAGCACCCAGTTTTTTCTCAATCATTCTAAGCTTAATCACTCTACCCACTCTTCCTTTGACTGATCACCAGTGTCTCCTACAATCTCTCCCCCCCCCCCCAAAAAAAAAAAAAAAGAGAGAGAGAGAGAGAGAGAGAGAGAGAGAGAGAGAGAGAGAGAGAGAGAGAGAATATCCTGCTTCGATTCTAATTTGACAGTGTAGAATCATCATCAAGATATGATCAGTTCTTCCAATTATCATTAATCACTATATATCACTACCCAACCCAGGAATTCTATAATGTTGAGCCAAATCGATTGCCACCATCCCAAAGAATTGGGGGACTTTTGTTTTTTGAATTAGATAAAAGCTCATGTCTTCAACTATCGAGAACAATATATAGTTATTTCCACACTAAACCAAGCTAGGCAAATCGAGAACAATATATAGTTATTTCCACACTAAACCAAGCTAGGCAAGGATGTGTGAGGCCAAAAGGTTCTAATATAATCACACTAACGAAAGTATAATCAAACAATTAATCAATTATATAAGAGATAATAATTTAATGTGATTTTGTCCAACCGATCTACATCTACGGATGAGAAATGAGATCTATTAGTTGTAAAAAATTACAAATATATAATTAAATCAAACACTCATAACCAATACCTATAGACCCTCTTAATCTTCTTTAATCCTATTTAGTATTTTCAACTCAAACAAACAAACGCATCCCCATATACACCTTTCAATACAAATAAACACATACTCATATACACTCATGCATCATACTTATGCGAATCATTTCAGTTTTCTCTAGTCCACTCATAAATATACCTATGTGAATCATCTCAATCTCTTTTAGTCCATTAAAGAAGATACAAACATACATACCCATAAGACGTAAATCTCCAGTAGTCTTAAGGATTGTCTATCCTATAAAATCCTACAACTCTTTTATATCTTTTTCTTATACCTAACCCACTAGAGATTTTATATATTTATAAGCATATAAACTTGCCTATTAAGAATTCATTTCCTCTTAGAATTATTCTTTTATAAGTTTTCTTATCCATCAATTACTATTTAACCAATCTCAAACAAATTTTTTATTGGATTTAAATAACTATTTTCAATAATTTTTACATTGACTCAAATTCTATCAAATCATATGTTTTAATGCTAGACATGCTTGGCTCCACCTATAATGAAACTCTCGTAATAATCTTCTTTTTGTGTCTTTACGTTTCATACAATTTGATTGATCAAAGTATGAACTCAAACTTTTTTTTGAATTGAGCTCCTTTAGGCTTATCTTTTCCTATGTCTTAAACCTTTAACTTTGATATCACTGTTAGGGATCACCACAATTTTAATACCAATTGTTAGCTAAAATATCTCAATCCAATTATACTAGTGGAAACATAATTAAACAATCAATCAATTACACAATAGATAATAATTTAATGTGATTCGATTTAATTACTTACATTCACAAATTAGAAATAAGATTTACTAGTTGTAGAGAATTACAAATATACAATTAAATCAAATACTTATAACTAATATCCATAGACTCTCTCAATTTTTTTTAGTCTATGGAGTATTCTCAATCCAAATAAATACATATCTATGTGCACAATTTCAATACAAATAAGTACATACCCATATGCACCACATCCATAAAACATAGATTTTCAGTAGTATTATAGATTGTCTATTCCATAAAATCTTACAACTATTTTATATATATTTTTTATACTTAACCTAATAAAAATTTTACCTATTTATAAATATACAAACTTATCTATCAAGAATCTTTGCATTCATAAAATTTATTTTTATATTTTTTTATCCATCAAATAATATTTAATTAATTTTAAAAAAATTTATTGTTAAATTTAAGTTATTATTCATAATAGCACGATCTAAAAATAAAAAATCTTATCGTTTCTTATTATCATACCATTTTATCATATGGAAATTAATTTCAAAGCACATGTAAATATACCTAGTGAAGCATTTTTGGAAGTAGAGGAAAAATCGTTGCTACAGCCATGCATAGCTGTTTAAGGCAAAACAAAGAATGGCTAATCATGGAGAAAAGAACATATGGAGGCAAGCATTACTACTGAAAATTATGACAAACTCAAGAACCAGGAACTGCTGACAAGTTAAGTTTTATGATTGGATATGGCTGTGTGTGATTGAATATAAGCCAAGTAATAAACGTTGAAATCAAATTAGACCCCCCTCCCACTCTTTTATGGAGAAGAAAATGAAAGAAGAAAATTATGATACGCATCTGTGACTATGACAGACATTTGTAAAATATATCTTCTTTGACATTTCACTTCATTTCGATTAAAAATAATATTCATGGGACCACGCGTAGAAAAGAGATCAGGGGGATATAAATTGTAAGTGGGGTGGCCACAATTTTGGTGGATTCCACGTCACTCTGGTTAAATTCTTTTATTTATTTATTTATCTTTTACGGCTATTCTTGATATCCTCACTCCACTTATAAAGCAAGGAGCCACCAGGCCATCCAATTCCTGTCAAAATTTCATTGTTTTATAATAGCTTTATGCCCTGCTGGAAACAGTTCTAACATCAAAACCACAAATATAATGCTGTTAGCATTACTAGAGGCACATGATGTCATATTCCACTTCAAATATCTCCTTATCAAATTGTTCATAGTGACTTTACATATTGCCTCGACCTTTAGTAACCATCAGTAGTTAAGCTGTCAATCAAAATGAAAATGAAAGTTGACCCAAGATTCTGCATTCGTTTGAGCTTTTAGTGAATAACCTAGAGATACAATGGCAGCCGTTTCAAGGCACGTATCAACCTTTATAGGAGGTTATCAGCAGATCAAATGTGTTACATGAAAGCAATTAAACCATGTCAATTACATGAAAGCAAATTACACTACAATTAAACACATTGCTACCATCCTTATTTCATAATAAACTTTAATTATAATTGGCTAAACAAAATTAGTTTCTATGCAGCATGAATGAAACATTGGCTAAGCCATTTTCTCAGTAATATATAACTTCAGGCCAATTCAAGTTATTGTCGTGCAGTGACTATTTTTGGTGGTTTCTGTGCAGCGGCTTCAGCCATCATATAATCAATGGAATAGATCTAAAATAGACCGACAAGATTCCAACCTTAGGCTGTTACGTGCATTTATGCCCTTTATCTATGGCCTTTGCTAAAGTCAAGGGACAGTAACATCATTTCCTCGAGTTGAATGGACGGGGAAGAGTGATGGACTAAAAGTTACAATCCAATCAAATATAAAGTCAGCAAAAGTAAAATTAAATAATTGATCAATCACACGTATAAAAAATAATAATTTAAAATAATTTAATTCAATTAATTTATATTTACGGGTAAAAAATAAGATTTATTATTTTTAAAAAATTATATATATACAAATCAAATTAAACACTCATAACTAATACTCACATACTTTTCAATCTCCTCTAATCTTATAAAGTATTCTTAACTCAAATAAACACATATTCACATATATCTTTTCAATGCAAAAAAATACATATTCATATGTACTTATTCATCATACCTATATGGACCTTTTTAATTTTCTCTAATCTACTCTCATGCATTATACTTTTCATCATACCTATGTAGACTTTTTTAATCTTCTCTAATTCACTCTCATGCATTATACTTATGTGGACCTTCTTAGTATCCTCTAATTCACTTACAAACATATAAATCCTCAGTACTCTTGTGAGTGTCTATTCTATAGAATCTTATAATTCTCTTATATTTTTTTTTCATATCTAACTCTATAGAGACTTCATCTATTTATAAGGATACAAACTTATCTATTAAAAATCTTTTTTTTTCTTAGAATTCTTTTTCTCTAAGTTTTCTTGTGTATCAAATAATATTTAATCAATTTCAAATAAATATGTTATGAGATTTGAGTCATTATTCTCAATAAAGAGATGTACTTCCATTGCCTTATCCCCCTTATCCAATCAAGTAATCACTATTCAGTTAATCTTCCTTTTTCCCCGGCCCCCTCCTTTTTTACGGTGTTTTCTTTGCAATTCTGGTTTTGCCACTTTAGCTAACAGAAGAAGTGAACACCAATAAATTCCCTAAAATCATCTTACTTTAGAACTTTCGTAATAGAACATAATTACACTGCCATATCGCCACTTTCAACTTTGTGTATAGAATTACTAGTAATGACACTTAATTTGTGTTCATGATCTGACACTATGATTTTGTATTTAATATATTGTTAATATATAAATGTTGTATAATTTCAATATATAAATGTTATACACTGTTAATGAACTATACAATGACACTTAATAGAAAATAATTTTAAAATTTTAAAACCTTAAAAGATGAAGACACTTAATTCTAAAAATATATTTAGAAAACAAATGCATATGAAGTGTCATTGTGCGGTTATAGTGAATCAAAAATAAATTCTACTTAATTTGCTATGCTAATAGTTTAGCAGTTCATGTTGAAGCAACAAGATTTGAAAATTACACCAACAGATCAATCTAGCTCTTGGATCATTTGGTTATAGTGGCTGACATCAGATGCATAAGCATGCGCGCATTACAGGAAACTATGCAATATCATCATTCCTTTTTGTTTGCTCAGCATCATCATTTTTATTATACACTAGCAAAAGACAATCAGAGCCTCTTGACCATAGCAAGTAGTTTATAGTATATATATGAGTATACCTAATGCTCCATGCACCAGCAGCCCTATAGCTGACTTAAATACCATTTGCAAAAAGAATCAGAGAGATAGAGAGAGAAAAGAGGGACAAAAATGAAGATGGTGCAGGATGAAATCCGAAAGGGTCCCTGGACGGAAAAGGAGGACATCCTTCTGGTCAACGTTGTGCACTTATTTGGAGATCGACGATGGGATTATATAGCCAAAGTTTCAGGTTTGAAGGTGTGGTGGGAGACAAATGATAGGTAGGATTATCTCGAACATTGGCAGGTTTTGCAAGGAGCTTCTTTTAACAACATGATTTTGTTCTAGGTTTGAACAGAACAGGAAAGAGTTGCAGGTTACGATGGGTTAATTACCTGCACCCTGGTCTCAAAAGGGGAAAGATGAGACCCCAAGAAGAGCGCCTTGTGATGGAGCTTCATGCTAAATGGGGAAATAGGTTCCAGAATATGCAACAATATCTCCTTTTTCTTTTTCCTTTTCTGTTTCCATTAAGAACCTGAAGATTGCTTGAATTAATTGCTTCTCTTCAGAATTTTGGTTTCATGAACTTAAATTCACTACGTATATGCAGGTGGTCAAGAATTGCTCGGAAATTACCAGGGCGCACTGACAACGAGATAAAGAACTACTGGAGAACTCATATGAGAAAAATGGCTCAAGAAACGAAACGGGCCATGTCACCGTCATCATCAACTACCACTACAGTGGATTCCTTGCCCTTCTCAGGTACTGGAAAGGTAAGTTTTTATGACACTGGAGGTCCTGACATGGCAGCTTTGGCAGGAAAAAACAGTTCAGAATTCCAAGTTGAAAAGGGGTACTCCATGGATGACATATGGAAAGATATTGAAATGTCTGAAGAAAACACAATAAAACCTCTGTCTAACTACAGTGAAGAAGGTCGCAATTTTTCCTGTCCTTCAATGGCTTCTCCTTCATGGGAGTACTGCTGGGACTTACTGTGGAAGATGGATGAAGAAGAGAGTAAGATGTTCCTCCCAACCAATCAATTTCTTTCTTATAATGAATATGGGAGAGCATCTATAAACGGCTAATTATAATTCATTTATCTGTTCATATGTAATACTACTAAGCTGTCTGATGAACTACTGCTTTCTTATCTAATCCTACATATCACTGTAATCATCTCATTGCTGTAGTCTATGTCCCAGTGTTTCGTGTGGTTTTAGTCTTCAAGAGAAGACAGAAACTTTATCAAAATCTCCCTAGATCAGGAGACTTGTATGCTTATGGATGTATGTATAATACTCCTTTGAATTTCAAATATCGAACCAGCTTGACGCTTTTGACACTTTAGCTTTTCATCTACTACATATAAAAAAAAATGTATGCAGCTATGCGCCTTTTCTTTCCTATAAGATTTCACAGCGATTAGTGATAGTGAATTACTCTTACACAAATTGGGACGGGTCTGGTCGCCAAAAAGCAAGTTACACAAGCACCAATGTAAAGGCTACTTCTAGCCGGAGTTTTGTTTTATTGTTTTTTCATATAATTACCTTTAAGATATGTCATCCAATGAATTTAAGATTTAATTTTCAGTATTCCCTAAACTCTAGATTACGGCCTATTTATAAGAAAAATGTGAAGGCTACTTCCACGAATGTGAAGAGCTTGTGCGTTTGTATGGTGTGGTCCTGATTGTATTGTCATCTGCAATCTTTCCAAAATCATATATTAATTCAGTGGCTTGCCACCCAAATTAAATTATATGTTTACTTTTTGTTAATGTTGGTGTTTCACCTCATTTCTTGGCTGAACCAAAAGCCCAAAAATGCTATCAAATGGTAGGAGATAGATAGGACAAAAGAAAGTAACATGGACGGTCACTTTCATCTAAACAAGTAGGGCAATAACATGCAATTTAAACTAGGGCTGCCAATCATATAATAGGTGCTGCGCACTCAATCACCCAGTCTCAGAAAAAGTGGAATAAATTCAATAGAATCATCCTAAGGGCTGAGGACTTTGAGACTTCCAAAAGATTCCGTAGTACCAGTAAAGTTTAATTTCAAATCCTTTTAAGTGTGGGTTGGAAACCGACATTATTATAGTTCAGTAGACTTCTCCTGTTCGTCCATTTTGTCTTAAAAATCTTGGTTGGAAAAAAAACAACTTGATCCTTGTCCAATTCTCCCTCTGTTTCTGATTCTCACTCCCAGCTTTGGCTATTGGCTAGGATCCATATTAGTAAACAAGTTGGCTTGGTGCTTGTATATTTGTTTCCCTCCTTTTTAATTAGTGCCCAAAAACAAAGATCCCATTATACTCTAGAGATTGATACCTTTTTCATTACACACATTATCTTTTCCTTTTCCTTTCCGAGCTTCCCCAATCCAATTAGAATTACATGTTTTTCTAAGATTTTTATAAAAAAATTACACTACTTAGTTTTTATAAAGATACCGTAATCTAAGATAAAAAAAAAATTATGAGTATTATAGCTGAATCTTTTTTTAAAAAAATTATATGAATCAATTATACTAAAACTCAACTTCTATGCTATTTAATCTTAGTAATTAGAGACGGTGAGGGAGATCATTAATATAATTAAAACTCCCTATAACAAACAGTTAGCAGTTCCAGTGTTGGTCCCATCCTCATAATTCACATCCAAATTGTAGCAAGTAAGCTGAAATTGGGACTAGACATGTGATGCCACTTGGCTCAATGCAATTGATCAATATGCAGCATATTACTCACACGTTACTGAAGATATTAGTCTAATGTAATCTTCTGTGCTATTTTCCCCTTTTTAGCCTCGAATTTGTTGAATTTCCATGAAAGACACCGTGATAGAAAAGGACAAAAGGGGAATTAAAAGATTTATTATATGTAAACTAAAATCCAACATAGAAACTGAAATTGGAGATAGAAAATAGTTAACAATGTCTCAGCTGCTGAAGCTCTATCTCTTTGCTTACAACTCTCTCCAGGCTTTTGGCTGGTATCATATCAATCCACCTTTTTTATCTTCTTTCAGTCCTTTCAACTTGTTTAAATCATTACAGCATTTCTTGTTGTTTCTTGTCAGGACAATTTCTCTGTTCAGAATTTTGGCCAGTTTCGTTGCCACCGACTCAGTAAATGGAGCTTATGCTTCTGCTGGAGACTTAATCTGTCAGTTTTTTTTCTTAAACTTGATAACCCACTTTTATTTCCTGGTAAACTGGCGGAAAATGAACTTAAAATTTCAATCATAGTAGAGAATATGCAGGATTGCCATGTTTTTTGATTCTTTAGGGAATATGCAGGATTTGCCATGTTTTTTGATTCTTACTTTTTCTCAATGACCTTGAGATTCATTAGGGTCGAAACATGGTTTCAAAGGTCTGATTTAAATTTTTATCTTTTTTTTTTCTTTGAAGGTTTGTTACAAACTTGTGCATTCTTGGAAGTTGTACATGGAGCAATAGGTAATTTCTTTAGGGTTTAATCCACTCAACAGTATGAACTTTTGGTGGGAATGGTTTTATAATTTTGTATTCTTTTTGGTTTCTATCTATGACGTTATGGAATTATAGGAATTGTTCCAAGTGGAGTGTTGTTTCCTTTGATGCAATGGGGTGGAAGAACACATTTCTTGTTAGCAATCGTCCGCCAAATTGATGAGGTTCTCATGTTTTGTTATATTGGTTTTGTTTTCAGCTTTGACATTCATAATTAGCAGTTGGCTGTTGATGTACTGGCTGCCTAAGCACACAATTCTTATGGTGGTTTTGTACAAGCAATGACACTTATGGTCAATAAATGCCCGTTTCTCAATTTATTTTTCATTATAACAGGTCCAGGAGTTTTCTGCAGTTTTCATAGCATTTTTTGCTTGGAGTCTAACTGAGGTGAGTATATGTTTTAATACATCTACTTGAATTTGGTACCCATATGCATCCTGTAACACGATGGGATTTTTAATGAGCATTTATAGTATCATGTTACGTAATGATGGCAGAAGATGGGAAAGTCATCATTAAATTGAAAATAATTTACTGAATGGTATAATGTACAAAATTGCCACCCACCTGTTGTTCTTAAGAGTTGAATAACAGAGATGAAGACAGTTAATGGTAGTAGACCACCAAAAACAACAAAATTTAATCTCAACATCTACTGATCAAATCAATTGCCACTTGTGCCTTGTCAGTGAAAGCCTGCTTGCTTCTAACAGGCTGTCAATACCTAAGAGTAGAAAGCTCTAAGCACTAAAATAGTTTTCATCCTAAATGTGTTTTGGTATAATTATAGTTTGCAGCAAGTTTGGAACGTTCAAATTTGTTCGTGTGTTTGGTTAATTTCTCTTGAGTTACTGTATGGGACTTGCAAGTTTCAATTAACATACTGTAATATGCCAACTTTTGGTCACTTCATGTTTTTTATTTACTCAAACTATTTAAAGGATCATGTCATATTAGTTGTTTTTCCTTCTAAATTCCTCTTTTAGAATTCCATCTTTTACCCTTCAATTTTGTACCTTTCCCTTTCTATGCTTTGTTAGGCTTATCACTTATTTTTCTTTCTTTTTTTTGTGTTTGTTATTGTTGTTGTTGTTGTTGGTTTTCTTTTTCTTTTTTTTCCTGTGGTAGTAACAGTTGTTAATGTTGCTGGTTTTGTTCTTTTATAACAAGACAGAGAACACAGTTTGCGCATAATCTATCCTGAACTGTTGTAGCATGGTTTTGCATTCTGCATCTTACACTCACATCGTACCTATTGTGTTCATGGTTTTAGTTCGTGACTGTTTCAGAATTAAAAGTAAATTACCAGTAACACTAACAATCTAACATGCTATCTGCAGGTAATTAGGTATTCGCATTATGCATTGAATATCTATGGCAGTTGTCCATCTTGGCTCACCTACCTGAGGTCTGATATTTTCCTTTACTACTGGAACCGCATACAGATTAGCATTCTGTTAAATTTTAAATCTTTTTCTACCTTACAGGTACACTACATTCATTGTGCTGTATCCTTTGGGGCTTGCTCCTGGTGAAAGTGAGTTAAAGATTTGCATTCATCCATGTTCAGAATTGATAGCTATCTTTTTTTTATATCCACATTCTTCTTGCTTTATATTTACTTTTCCATCTAATTTATTTTATCCTTTGATCTCTTCAACACAGTGTGGCTCATGTTCCAAGCACTTCCATTTATAAAGGAGAAGAACCTCTATGGTGATTTCTTTGCTAGTCTTCCCTTTAGCTATTATAATTTCGTCACGGTATGTACAGTGTTTTACATCTACAAACATGAGAATCGTTGCTTTTCCTTCAGCTATGCATTTGTAATAGATAATGCTAATGTGCTGGGCCTTGCTTAATTTGCCTTGCACTTCTTTTGTAACTTGGGACAAGGCACGTGTGTTTGGCCTAGGTATTGGCAGTTCTTATTTTGGGTTTTAAAATCTTTCTTTGCTTGAATTAGCCTGTCCAAGACTCACCAACTCACGTTCCTAACTTAAGAGTGCACCTTGGTTCCAACACAAGTTCTTTTCTGAAAAATATTACTATGAGAGTGAAATGGATATTGTTATGCTGTGATGAGCATATTTTGAAGTGAGTTTGTTACGATCCACTGTTTTGGCACCCTGCCATTGTTGCTAAACATCGTCACCTTTTTGTTAGGTAGTTCTGCAAAGACCTGGAATTATTTAGTTTGGCTTTCTCTCCTCTGTTTCCCCTTAGATTCCTTTGAAAGAAGATTGGTTTAATCTGCTTTTATCTACATTCCAGAAATATGATATGCTGTGACGTGGTTTCCCTTAATATATAATGATGATTTCATTACTTTTCTTTTCGTCCTAGTACATGCTTATTTCTCTAAGTTTTTCTATTTCGTTTTTAACGATCACTTGTTATGTTTTGAATCAGGTTGTTCTTCTCATTTATCCATTCCTATGGTTGAAACTTTACGGCCATTTGTTTAAGCAGCGACGGTCAAAACTCAGTAAACACCACGAGAAGAAGAAAAAGTGAAGTTAGAAGGTTTCAATTTTTTTAACCAATAATTATATATGGAACATAAATGACTTCAACTTTGATATTCCATGATATTATGTAGATGGACAATTTGCAGTGTTTTTCCTATATAACCAGCAACATGTACTTCCTAGGAATGAAATGCGCCCCTATTTTTTAGAAGATGCATCATATAATCATATCAGATCCTTCTATTCTGCAATTTACATTTCTAGGGCTTGAGGTTTTCATTGTTTGCTGCCTCTTGTTATATCCCATGACTTTGAACTTTCTGGGTGAAATATCTGGCTTAGGGCCCTATATATATATATATATATTATAGTGGCATTAGCCCTGCACCATTCTTTTAAATCTATTGACTATTAAGTTGTTGAACCTAATATGTGCCGTTTTTGTGATTTCAATTGTCAAGTTGAATGCATTTTTGGACCTAAAGTTCTGTCAACTGAGCAGAAGTGAACAATATCAAATGATGAACAAGAACAAAAAGTTCACTGGAATCAACAATTCAAAAGAGAGATACAAACAACTTGGAATAAGCACCCACATCAATGAAACCAAAGTGACCGATCCAACTTTCAACCCTTGTTAATTAATCACATGGAACTCAAAAGACCAGGATTCTTAAAATTCTGCCGTGGGAAGCTGCTCATGTGTGTTTGGGGTGATGAAGATGATTTCATAGACAACGGCTGCAATGGCAGAGCCAATGAATGGACCGAGCCAGTAGACCCAGTGGTTGTCCCATGTCCAGCTGACCACAGCTGGTCCGAAGGAGACTGCAGGGTTCATGGATGCACCATCAAATGCACCACCAGCCAAGATGTTGGCACCCACAATGAAACCAATTGCCATGGGTGCAATGATCCCAACGTTACCCTTCTTTGGGTCAACAGCTGTGGCATAAACGGTGTAAACCAAACCAAAGGTCATCACGATCTCAAAAACCAGTGCGTTCCATGATTCCACTCCAGATGACAAGGAAAATGCTGATGTTGTCTGCATCATAGCAAATTCAAATCAATTTTGGATAACCATTGAATTAAACCTAGTTGAGTTTTTCTATCTCTAATTTTTAGGTTTGAATTGTCTTTTGTTTTCCTCAAGTCTTACCAATCCACCAGTTGAAAGCTTAAGAAGCAAGCAAGCAACAACGGATCCAAGCAACTGAGCAATCCAGTACAAAAAACTCCTGACCAAGCTAATGTGGCCACCAACAAAGGCACCAAATGTGACGGCAGGGTTTACGTGCCCACCAGAGATGTTAGCTCCGACAGAAACCGCCACAAACAGGGCGAAGGCATGAGCCAGTGATGCAGCTACTAGCCCCGCCGGTGTTGATGAGCCATTGTCTGTGAGCTTGTCTGCCAAAGATACGTACATACACCGTTTAGTTCATAGAAAAACAAGAACACATAATGAGAAACAAACAAGGAAACAAACATGACAATTTTTCAAATGAATTTTCAACATTGTTACAAAATTTCAACACATATATGATACGTACTGAAAGCCATGCCCGAGCCTTCACCAGCGAAAACGAAAATGAGCATGGAAATAAACTCAGCTAGAGCTGCCTTGAGGGCATCAGTTTGGCCAGCCTCAGCTGGAGATCCTACTGCAATTCGAGAAATCGGCATTTTTTTTTTCTCTCAAACTGAAAAAGGCCAATTGCTTGCTAGTCTTTGTCAATTGCTTTCTTCAGCTTTCTTTACTGGTAGTTATATATAGGGATCCAATGTAACGACTACGAACCGGACGAGCCGGTTCAAACCGGTGAACAATCCCAATTTCAACTAAAAAAGAAAAATGGAGCAACAAATTTTCTATTGGCCACCTGTCAATGTCGGGGAAATATTGTACGCGAGGCCTCCAAATTGCTCCCCGTGTGCCACGTGTGCGTTTGATTTGGATTTAGATGGCCAATCCGAGCGTGGAGAATTATGATCACCGCCATCAGTGGGGGCAGTGGTTCCCTCCCATGATTGTCGTTGTTTTCGCTTGACCGACCATTCGATTGTTTATGTTGTGGTGACGTGGACGGTGGTGGTTAGCTTCGCTGTCTTCGTTATCACGAACTAATCAAGCATAATTAAGAGGTGAATCCAAATTATATATTCTGGTTTTTCTTATTGGGTTTAGTGGCGATCATGAACAGGTAATGACATCAGACTAAATGGAGCGGATGTGGTAAATTCTGCCGTCTGATTTTGATTATGACAGGGATGGACCCATTAAAAGATTTGTTCAAAATTATCATTAAAAACTTAATTAGATTTTTATTTTCATAAAAATTAAAAATAAAATTAATTAAATATTATTAATGGTGTTTTTGGGTGTTAACTACATAAAAGCGGTCGAAGAGCTATGCAAGGGGAAGCTTGAACATGCAATAAAAAAAATACAGATAAAGACACGTTGGAGTTAATTTTTCGAAATGCTTTAGGATTTAATATATATATATATATATATATATATATATATTAAGAAAGTTTTAAGAAAAAAGATAATTATTCTTTTCGTATTAATTTTTTTTCATTTTATATATGAAATAAAAGATAATAACATAATTATGATAATTGATAATGAATTTGCATGAAATTTTTTAAAAAATCACATTAGTGATTATAAATTATATTTAATAATTTTAAATAAACATGAATTACATTAAATGATTTTTGGTAATTCGAGGCTAATTGTTTTATTTTTTAGTGATGTCTTAATGAAATGCTAATGGAGCTTGTTAAGTGAATCCCTCCCTGGCAAGGGTGAGCCTGCTTTGTGGTAAAGGGTTTGGATATTGACACTCACTTATAATGATCGGACGTGTATTAATTTGACGAATGTAAAAATTGATCTCATTGATTGAGTAAATATGCACAACAAATATGATGAAAAATATAGAGTTTATTTTTAATATATTAATATTATAATTTTTAATTTCATAAATAGAGTTAAAAAAAAAACATATATTTTACTTTTTAATTAATTTTATACTTTTTTAATATACTTTAAAAGATATGTAAAATTTTTATTGACAGCAAATGAAATAATTTTTCATATATATATATATATATATATATATATACATGTAAAATTCACTTTTGACTTATTTATTTTTTAATTAACTTAAATTAGGATATTGAAAATGTCATTATCAATAAAATGATTGATCCTCGATGAAATTCGTCATATCTTTATATATATATATATATATATATGTATGTATGTATGTATGTATGTATGTATATGAACTAAAACCTATGACATTGTTGGATGTCTATCTATGTTATTGGTTATTTTAGTAGAGCGAAAAAGAAAAATACAAAGGTGAAAACGCTAAAACACGAAAGGATGAAGGATCAGCTAGGAATGAAAACTATTGCATTAGAAAAGAATTACACTTTAAATTAATCTTTCAACATTTACACATGGCATGACTAAAATACAAATTTTCCTTTGACTTTCTTTCCTTTTTCTTCTTACCAAACACAGTGTTTAATCACAATAAACCATATATTATCTCTTCTGGCCAAAAAAAAAAACTGCATATTATCTCATGCTCTTATCACTCTCTTGGCCTGCCATTGTCATATGACTTCACTCCATGATCTTGCAACTTTAATCAAAGAATTTTCATCTCTCTCTGCCCCATGTGAACACTTTGATCATTCTACATCAAGACCAAGTCAAACAAAACAACAAATAGAACTGAAAAAAAAAAAAATTTATTAGGGGACAAACTTGGTTAGCTGCTTTTATGTGACAAAATGACAATAACATGATTAATTATACTATAATTTTAATATTTCTCTGTCAATTAGTCTAAGATTCTTTGTTAAATCGGATTAGATCGGATAAAAGCACAAATGAGTTGTTAAAATTAATTGAGAATTAAGTAGGTATTCGTGGAAAGGTGGACTTGAGGATTTCAATTCAAATAACTAAGCACGAGTGATTATCCAACCAATGTTTTTCCCATTCCACATCATATGATAATAGGTTTAATAATTTAATTTCAGGCTTTTAAAATTTTAATAATCAAGATTACAAATTTCGTTTATCTTGTCCAAGAATATAATCTGGCCAAGTGGCGTTTTTTCTTGCATTTTTAATCTATTTATGTTAGAGTTTGATTTGGACAGCTCAAATGATTTATTCTCTCATAATTAAAGGTATAAATGATACATTGTACTTATAAAATATTTAGATTTGATTTGAATAAAATTTTAATTTAATTCTATTATTATCGAGTTAAATTCGAGTTCAAATAGTTTGATTTATCGATCAAGTCAAGTTTCAGCATTATTATACCTAACTTGAGTTGCTTGTGACCCTACTCGAGCTTTTATATTTTAATATATTTTAATTATTTTAATTACTAAAATATCTCGAACTCGAGTATAAATAATCGAGCTTTTTATCGAATATAAAAATCGAACTTATTTTTACATGTTAATCGAGCATAATCGAACGAGTTTGAATAGTTTGATTTCTATCTCGAGTCAAATTCGAACAAAAAAAAAACTTGATTAAGTTTGAATTGAGTTTCGAGTCTCAAATTTGAAGTTAAAGTCGAACTTAATACTGTATCAGTTCAAACTCGATCAATCACACATTTACTCATGACTCCATTTAACCCAAATCCTCTCCCTTTCTTTTCACAAATTTTTTGTCTTTTACATCTTAGAAGAAAAATAAGGCCAGATATAGGTATTCTCATTTTTACACCCCTAATCTCATATTTAAAATTATGAGAATATGATATAAGATATAAGTTGAGATTTAAATTTATTTTGATATCATTTATGGAGATCTATATTCAATTTAAAATATATATTATTCGCTTTGATAAAAAAATCCATAATTTTATTTTATAAAAAAGATTTTACAAATTTAAATTTAAATATTAATTTATATATTATAATATATTTACTAAATATTCCAACATAAGATAAGGGTATTACACCCATAATTTGGATCACAGGCTCAATACAATGCCTTTAGCCAAATTTGGTAAAAGTGAGATACTACTCCAATAATATTTTGACAAAGAACAATTCTTATCAAGCTTTTTGTAATTCAATTATGTTTAATTTAATTAATTTATATAATTATTTAAAAAATTGATAAATATGAAATTTAAATTTCAGTAATTCCTTTTCTTATTTCAGGTTTATAATTTTTTTGTAAAAAAAAAACAAAAAAGAGAGAATAACATGAATGACTGAGGGAAGTAGAAATTACATATTGTTTTTAGTACTCTATAATTTGTGGGTTTGACTATAAATATTTGCAGCAATTAATTGTTAGGCAGAAGTGTTTGACATAGCCAGTTGTCACTGGACATGACTGCAGCTATAAAATTTGTGTCCTTTGAGCCAATTTTTGTAATTGGTCAGTAGCCTATTTAAGTTTATGGGAGGTCAATATTCAAGATCCTGATTTCGATTTCCCATATCAAGATTTTTGTTTTTGTTTTGTTTTTTTTTTAGCAATCCTTCCTGTCTAAGTTCATCTGCATTTCTTTTGATGAACTTGATATGTCTGCAGTGTCTTTGGTTCAAATCATTCGTGGTTTTTGGCTTTGAGCAACCATCTGTTGTCCTGTTAATTGTGATCTGTGCATCAGCAAAATCTGTTTTCATATGTAGTTCTTTTTTTTTTTCTCTTGGATTTCAGATCCTTCCAACTTTCCAAGCCCAAGAACATTGAGAGAACCTTCTAAACTCTCAACTGGGCTTGAAGATTCCCATCCTGTTAGTATTTCATTATCCAATTCTTTCAATGTTGAGTGAAGAAAGCTCACCATGGAAATCTGACCTTTATTTTCCAGCCCAATTACTTTCTCAAGAAAAATGAAAATGATTTTCCCATTACAAGTTGAGTCTCGAATAAGGCCCAATTCTTTCTTAACTTATACTTAAATTCCAGGTTTATTTATTGTGAAAGAATGAAAAAGGAAAAAAATCTGTGATAATTGTGAGAAGAATCCCTCCTATTTTGGGATCTTTCCCTTAAATCATTCCTAAATTAGAGCAATTGTAACTAATTATATGCTTTCTTAAAAATTTTTCTCAATACGTTTCTCTTGCTCCTTTATAAATTAGGCTAGCCTTTTGTTTTTTTGTTTTTGAAAAATTTTAGATAAAATGAGGTTACCAAGAATTGAATTAAAACCTTTACCCAAACTTTTCTGATTTACCCCAACATTCCCCACTTGTCCAAATGTTACTGAGCAGGTTTTTTGGATATCAAACCGACCTTTTCTGAAAAGTAATTTTAATATGATTGATTTTTTCTCTTTTGCAATCAGTTTCACTACTGCACCCGCTGCTCTAATTCATTGTCCATCTCTTTCAAATACGATTTCTATTCTATGTATG